CGCCCACCACTTACGGTACCTGCACATTGAAGTACACACTGTGTCAACAAGAGTTTACAGAGCCTCCTCAGCTATGCCATTGCTGTTGAATAAATTGCACGTGGATGAAATAAATTATTGCAATTAAAGTGTAATTAAGATTTGATCAGCAGCAAAGTGTCCCAAGGGAAGAGGCTGACCATGGATAGCGGTAGTGGTACAAGAGTCACAATTCCTAACACAAGCCTCCCTTGACGAGTTGAATTGAAATGGAACAACCAATCTTCTGCAATATTGATTAGATTTATATCGAAAACTGAGAGATTTTTGAAAGTAGGAATGGAACAGAAGCTGATTAAAACTTGGGGAGAACATTTCGTAGCCGACATATTCACTTGCAGACACTCGCACACAGAAGCCATGAACAAGTGATGTTGGCCATAGCAAAAGCAAGCAAGCGATCGCTCACCGAGAATGAGACTCTTAAACATAACGGACACAAAACAACAACCAGCTCTTCTTGTCTTCTCGTTTATCGTGCCATAGAAACACTATTTCAACTCAATCATCCTGAAGGCGCGTGTCTCGCTCGCCTTCAAAACCTCGACAATCCCATCATTCAAGGCAGCCACAGCTTGCCTGCGGCCAAACAGCTCCAGAGCCTGATCGTTGCAGCACTGGCGCAGTACATCACATTCGGTGGTCAGCCGCTAGACTGACCTTTGAAGATGACGTTGTTCTTCCCCAAGTCGTATCTTCAATGCAGAATCGACAACGTAGCATCTCCACAGGCAGAGATACAAGTCAAGAAAGCCGACGATAGAAGCTGCGAGGGAGCTGTGATGACGCAATATGTATTTAAACTCCGTGGTGAGGCTTGCTGAAGGAGCGGGAGCCTAAATCAATCAGCATAGTCATACAATAAGTGGGAGGCTATATAACCTTGTTTCCGCCTGCCGAAATGATTTTCTCAGGTGGTTGATCGTGAATTTGCTCCGGCAACTCACTATCAGTCTCTCGGTGTACCTGTTGTCTTTTGGAGAACTGGAATGTAGGAGAATACAAAGGACGTTTTGAAGAGCTCATGGTGTTCGATTTGTTGCTGGATGTAATCTGACTCATGAATGCTTAAATAGGCCGCAGATCTCTTTATGACATAGAATAGATAATCTCACCAGTGCAACGGTGGACTTCGTTGACAGTTTATCAATGTTCAAATGCGCTCCACGGAAACGATCAAGTTCCATCAGCGTTGAGACTTGGTCCGTCGAACCCAGTTTCTAAGTCGATAGCCTCGACCGCCCTTAGCTCTCAGACCATCGAGCGGAATCCACAGCCACGGAAGAAATGCAATGTGACCGGTGCAAATGGCCACTAGGCACAGTTCGGTCGTGTTCATCTCGGATTGTGATATCAAGTTGGGGCTTGGCCAACCTTTCCTTGCCTGCACAGGTTCCGTATTTGACAGCGTAGGTCGAGGCACTTTCTCCCTCTCGATTTAGCATCCTATGATCTATCTTCTGATGACTGAGCAGAAGTCCGAGAACGTCTATCGATCCATGTTGAATAGCTCTCATCAAAGCAGTCTTTCCACGCAGGAAGGTGTTGGCATTGGCACCATAAAGAAGCATGAGCTCGGCCCGAGCATAGTCGTTGTCTCTGGCTGCCAGGTGCAGGAGATTGCTGTTCTGGTGTTGAATGTTGTACTCGAGGATGCTGGGCTGCGATCTGTGGTAAAGATTCCAACATGATTTGCCCAAGGTGGCCATGTCACGAACGTTTAGCTTAGTGGCAATGAGCATGAGAATTTGGTTTGGTAGGCTTTGGAGGATTGCCTGCAGGAAATTAGCCAATACACTCACTAAAGAATTGAGACTTTTCAGCAGCAACATTGAACAGACCATCGTGGGAGATAAGCTCTTGTAGATTGCGAGAAGTATGCAGAGGACGGCAAGCTTGTGTATGAGAAGAACTTGTGCCTGCTTTTCTAGGAGTGTTCTGAGGCTTTTATATTGGATATGACTTCTCAGGACTCCTATTCTAAAAGACGGCTCCTGAGAGCCAATTGCATGTTCCTGGAGACAGTGTCTCCACCCGGGATCATGCTTGGGAGCTCCAAGGAGCCCAGGATATCCTAGGAGCTCTTCTAAGACGACCAGAAGCATGCAAGTGACTTGTGGCGGGGCATGACGGGCCAGAATGCTTGGCCTGCGTGCTATAATGGACTCAATCTGTTCTGGTTGCCCGCAAAACATCGACTGTCTAATCCCTCTTTATTTGCTATACTGTATCTGCGACAAGAATCGCAATCGGTCATTCGTCTAGTCGTGTTATATTCCCCGCCTTTCGAAAGACAATTCCTTGTGTAGGGTATGGATAACATTTGCTTCATCCTGAACGTACTAATTTTCCCTCATCATATTCTGACTAGCCACAGAACACTGTTTAGTACCTTGTTCAATAGGTAGAGGTATTTATGCTGGCCTCACCAGTGAAACAATAAGCTTCGGAGTTGAAATCCTAAATATTTGGCCACCATTACCCAGCGTAAGATGGAAGAAGTCTGAAAGTGTGCAGTAATTTACTGACTATCTTAACTGAGCGTGCACGTCAACAAATGTACACTTTTGAGGATCGAACGATGAGTGCTGTGCGAGTATGGTGCTATCTTGATGTATAACTTTAAAGTAGGAGCGTACAGTGGACTAAAGTGCCACCAGAGACGTCGACGCCTCAACTACTGATAACTTTACAATATCCATGAGAAGTCTCGGCGCCAGAGGCTCGTACCAACTGGTTAGCTATTAGAATTCTGGGAATTTGCAGTTACCTTCCTAGGTCCAGCGATTGGAGCGTTCCGATTTAAGGAAACACGGGGATTTAAGGTCACGGGGATTTGAGGTCACACAAGCCACGGCGTTCAACAGAAGTATCACGGGAAGGGCGTCTAAAGGTATTCTGAGTCATGCCGTCTTTGATAGTCTAGGATTGCATCTTCGGTATTCTTTACAGTCGCTGCATCCTCCCCTTCATCCGCGTAAGACCAAAGTTTAAACTTCTCCTCAACGACATCGTAGCGAAGAGGCTTGGATGTTGCATCGCTGTCGGCGGAAATCAGGTGGAGGTTGTCTTGTTGAATCGTGGCAGGAAGATCGTCTGGACTTAGGTAATCCCCAATACAGATGATCCGCATGCCAGCCCACTCCTCTTCAATCAGTTCACACAATATGTTGGCCCACGACGAAAAAAGCAATTCTGACAACTTTCCACCAAGTAGTTGGGTCGTGTACTCGCGTTTGGACGGGCAAACCACCAGCCAGTATGGGCCCATTGTTTGTTTCTTCGAAAGACAGGATAGGACGGAAGTCTTAGATGGTGGAAGTGGGAACCGTAACCGGATTAGAGCAAATTGCATACCCGAGAGACACAAATACCGGATGCAACGGGAAGATGGTACGCTTGTGGATTAGATGAGCTTGTAATATTGCATGTCTAGTGAGGGGCTTGACCTTTATATGTTGGTCACGACGTCTCATCTCGCAGAATGGCTCCTGGAAACGCACTAAAACCTCCTGAGGACAGTGTGTCTGTCGCGGGGATCCTACTTGTGAGCTCCAGGGAACCTTGAAGACCCTAGGAGCTCCCTAAGGATGTCTGCAAGCGTGACTGATGACTTGTTGCGGGTCCATGACTTATCAGAATGCCACAGGGCTGCATGGAGAGGCGGTAGCCTTCGTTCAATTCATGACCATTCAAGGCAAGGAGACCTCAGCTACAAAAAAGACACATTCCTTCACAGCGGTAGGCAGCTAAGTATAAGAGATGTTGCTGATGAGGTGGATCCGTATGATTTCAGACGAAGCCATAACTGGGGTATAAAAGAGTGTCTTCGGCCCTTGGTTGGCATCTCAATCATTAGAATTGTTTCTCATTTCAAGCATATCAACAAGTCATGTCTTCGTACCAACCATGGGGCCGTTTTATTCTTTACGAGATAGGTATCGGGGAGGCTCGAATCTGCTGCGGGACTACCAAGACGGGCGCACCGTGCAAGAACTCCATTAAAACCAAAGACATCAAGGCTGGCCAACAGTAACTGGCAAATCTTGCAACACGACCACCCGACTTCTCGACTTTACGACCTATTTTATGTGATATTGCAAAAAACTTTCTCTGTGCGAGATGGCACCGGCAGCGACAGGACAACCAAGTTGGCCAGCAGTGGTATGAGGCCGTGGCTCGCAACGCGGAACAAGCCGGTCAGATCTCCGAGGATGCCTCTGTAGCATTTGATACGGATGCCAGTCAGAGCCAGCGGCCCACCCTCACGAGTCCCTCAGAGTCGGAGATTCCCCGCAGGGTTACACACACACACACAATTCATTAACGCCCGGCGGCTAAGCCGAAAGGGCAACTGAAACGATCTATCAGTACATGTCCTAATATATATATGCTGCATCTCCTTCGAGCCCATGCATGCATCCCTTCACTCTATGTCCTCTCAGTTGTCAATATCATAGGGATCCTTGTGGGTTAGTAAGTTGGTTAGTAGACTGGCTTGAAGGCGCTTCTTCAAGTGTTCAACATCCTATCTTCGGCAGTTGAAGCGCGTCCACCATCTTTGGCACAAGGCGGTTGGTGTAGGTTGGTTAGGGGAAAGGTGTCATTGTGTTGGTCG